AGGTACATATGGCCTCTTGTTCAAGTTTTAGTACAATTTGACATACTCCTTCTAGATAGTAAACAGCAGCTACAGAAACATTTGATACCTCAGAGACTTATACAGTAAGCTCTTAAACTGAAGAGGCATCCTACAATTTCAGTAAATAATTAAAGGACAGAGGGAAGAAATATTGGATCAGTCAGATTTGGCCTACTCCAAAATAGTTATAAGTAGGTCCAAGTATGAGGTATTCTTGGAAATAAGTTGAGCAAGGTTTAAAAGAAAACTATTTGCATAAAGTCAAGGAGTATGGAATGGTATCAAGAATTAAGAAAACAGAATACTGAAAAGCAGAAATATGGCCAGTAGTTGAGACAAAATTTAGCGTTTGAGAAAAACTCTAGAATTACTTGGCTTCTCCACCAAAATGGTCTTCTCTACCCCTTTTTCTGGCACTTAATTGATGGGGAAATTAATGCAAAGAGAGGAACAGTGACTTGCTAAATTTTTCATGCACAAATAGAACCTCGAGTAAAAGCAAGTCTCAACAGAAACACGAAAGCAAAGTTATTATTTAGTTTTACCCAAGGTGACATAGCTGGGTGCAGATTTTCAAGTCTGGAGTGGGAACTATAACATGAGCAAGGTTAAAGTGCTGAGAAAATGAAATTGTATGTACCATTCCAGGATATATTGCAGAGCTAATAATAGGGCATAGTGGAGATAGAACAGAAAATACACCATTTTTTCCTTCTCTGAAGCCTTATACAATGTAAGCACCAGTACTCATTTTATGCTTATTGATCTAAGTGGGGACTCTGGACATGAGTACACTGACCAGACTCCCACATGATAGAATTCTGAATGTCCAGCCTATCTCTGATTTGCTTGCTGACAATTCAATCAACTAGAAGACCAAGAGAGTGACTTGGGCCTTTGTTATTCTGTGCTTAATTCTAACCAACAAGACAAATTAATTATGGAATTCAAGTTGCCAGTAACTTAGGAGAGAGTGAACATGTCAGTATTATGTTTGTGAGAGTCAAGAAGACTTCATCATAATCAGACATGCACTCTAGATTTATAGCCAACTGGTTTTTTAAAGTGTAGAGTGGAAGGGGTGGTGGCAGGAAATGATGTATTTTTGTACATGACTCTGAAGAGGAGATGATGATTCTAAGAAGAGATAGAAAGTTCTCACACATGGTATAATGGTAAGAGAAGACTATATAATAAACCACTGCAGCTACCCAGGATTCCCTTCAATGTAACTGCATTTTAAAGAGAATACTTCCAAAGAAAGCAGGTTAGTGGTTACCTTTGTCAGGAGGAAGTAACCAGAAGGAGCATGAAGGAGAGCTGTTGATGTTTTAACCTGGGTGCTGGACAAAGGTTATGTTTACTTGGTGAAAAATTTGTTAAACTGAAGATTAGCATACTTATATGTATTTATGTTATACTTTAACAGATAAAATAGTTAATAAGATTCAGTATATTTTCTTCAGGATTTATTTTTTAAATGATTAGATTTACACATTAGTTGTTAAAAAGCAGTAATTTGCTTTGTTCATTTAATAATTCTTATGCATACTATTTCATGTTATTACATAACCATCACAATCATATTTTGCTTTAAAATATTCCACTGTGTAGACAAACCACAACTTTGTTTTTACAATACCTATATGGTTAGACAAACATATTGCTTCTGGGTTTTTTTTATTATTTCAATTTACTAGTACCTGGGTGTAGTATGTAATGTTTACATTCCCTGTGGGAAGTTGGTATGTGTAAATAACAGATCTTAATTCCTTTTTCCATTCCCTTTCTGTTTTCTCCCTTCCGCTTCTCCCATCCTTTGATCCCCTTCTTTTTTTTTTTTTTTGGTAGATATTTGCAGTACATGTTTACGCACCTTGTATGGAGTTGGTACACAAAGAACATTGGAACCAAAATCTTTGAATAAAATGCTTTTTGTACATTTAAGTTATTTGCCATGAATAGATTCTTAGTTGTAGACAGATTCAACTGAATATCTTTATGCTTAAGTTAGATACAGTCAACCTTCTCCATTGGCAGTTGCAGAATCTGTGGATATGGAGGCCTGACTTAAGGGACTTGAGCATCCACAGATTTTGATTATTCATGGGAGTCCTGGAACCCTGCCCCTTGGATACCCAGGGATCATTATATTTACAAATTACTCCCAGCAGTCTTGGCCACATGAAACCTGTGCCCATTACTATATTCAACAATCATGCACAAAACTGGCAACTTTCCTAATATATCATGTGCAAACTCTTATTTCATTCCAATAATATGAAGTTGTAGAGCTTCTAGACTATATCTGGTCTCCCATCACCTATACCATTCTACACAGTTTCTCAGAGACAGTTGTCACTGAGATGCTGCATCACTACACCCAGGTCTTTTTCAGTTCTTCAGGGTTCACAGTTTCTGTAACCGTCTCAGGCTCTTTCAACCAAGGCACAGAAATGAAAGTCAACAAGAATTGGAAAACTTGCACTCTCTCCAAACATGAAAAACAAAAAGAAAATTTGCTCACTTTTATTATTATTGGAAATGTTAACTTATTTGTACTCAAGCTTTTTGGACATCATATTTAAGAAGTTCTCTTTAATTTTTATATTCATATGCAGTCATTTTTCTTTCTTTATATCTTCTGTACATGTTCTTTTATAAAAATCTTTTTCATTAACAAATTGCGTAGTTCAAATTTCCTATGAATATTTTGTATACTTGAACCATTACTTGGCATACTTTTTTAACATTTCTGAATTTTCTATTTTATAAAATGAAACAATTATTTGTTTTGCAAGGGACATTTTCATTATAAAAATAGATAAGAAAACACTTGTTCTAAAGAACAAGTCATGCCAACCCAACCTTCTTTCTTTAAGAGAGTTCTTAGGCTGAGATTAGAGAAATGCAGTAAACAGAAGATTAGTATCTGAAATGAATTTGACCCTATTGTCAAGCTATTATTATGGAAAAATACAAGGCATAACCATTTGAGTGATTGAGGAGATCTGAATACCAAAGCAAGGGAGAGATTGCATGAGTAGACAGTTCAAAGATTCTGATGGTCAGATAAATGTGAACTTGGATGAAGCAGTCTACTATATACCCTAGTGCCTGGCTATTGGCATTTTCTAGGTTTCTACTTATATTGATGAAATTAGAGGAAAAAATATTTCCAAAAAGTTGCATCTGGTGGAGAATATAATGATAGCCTGTTGGAATGAGATCAAATATGAATCTGCACTTGGACTAGAATGTTGGCTATGTTATTAGAAACCCAGTATAAGTATAGAAAACAATGAGAGTCTAGACACTCATTATAGACAAAACCACACATAGATTGTTGCTTCCTATTCTAGCCACTGACCACTGAGAGGGATAAAGTGGAGGAAATCTCAGGGTGAGTAGATAGGATAGCTCAAAAGACTTAAACTCTTAATCTTATGAGGACTTGCTAAAGTAGAACATTAGTGAAACGAAGAACCATCTTTCAATATCCAGACATATTCCTGCACAAGCAAGGGCAAACTTTCTATATAATTTGAGGAACTGGAATCAAGACCATTGGGGATAATTATGGGAGGTCATCTTGGATTTACTATAAGTGGTGATTTCTAGCATTCAGAGGTATGCATAGGTGAAATAAACTCCAATGTGAGCACTACTGTTTCTTCTCCACTTCTGAGTGCATGCAAGGTTCCATCTCCCCACCTCAGTGAAATTCAGTATGATCATGTGACTTGTTCTAGCCAATGAAACTTGAGTAGAAGTGAAAGTGCTCCTTTTGAATCAAAGAATATGGTTGTCAGAGTTTAACTCTTCCACCTTCTTTCCCCTTGGTTAAAATGGAAATACCACTCGTGGTCTCTAAGGGATTACATTGATTAGTGAATCCTCTGGACCCCGTCCCCAGTCCTCAGACCCAACCATTGGATGTATAGTTTGACTAGAAAATAAACTTGTGTTGTATTTATCCCCTGAGGTTCTTGGGTTTTGGTACTGCAGCATAATCTTTTCTATCCTGATTAACACAAATGCCTTCAGGATGGTTCCTGATGAGTAACCAGCAATATGATAAGCACTGGATTCCTGAGAGATTTTTGGTTTGGTGCCTCACACCATTATACTCTTTGCTCTTCCTTTCATTGTTACATCGCATTTAGACTATTGTTGGGGGTATAATTTAGTCAATTGGAATTTTCAACTTGTCCATGACCTCTGGGAAATGAATCCCAGTGAAGTAGGCTAAAATAATCCTCTCCCTAGGCACACGTTTCTGTAACTCTGCTGCATGCCCAATAACAACACAAATTTATGGCTGCTGTTCACTTGGGCAACAGCCAACAATAACTAGGTAGTTTAGCAAAGATTCAATAATCTCACACACACACACACACACACACACACACACACGCACACAGTGTTATTCATGATGACTGTGAGGCCCACTAGAGATGTCAGGCCTAAAGTGACTTTTTGAACACAAACTTTGCAGATTGATCTTTACATGTTTTATCTAGACTGGGCTCTTGCTAAATGTGCCTTCTGTGCATTCAGACGCCTTGTTGCTTGTAACAGTTGCCAAAGGAGGCCCTTGTTCTGTCTGCTAATTCATATACCTGAACAAGTCACATTCCATACAACAACATACCCACTAAGTGTCACTGTTAAACATTTTGGGTACTTGAAAGTATCTGATAAGTTTATAAAGTAGTTCTGTCTGGGAAAGAGGTTTATGAGGTGGTAGGTGGCAGTGAAGAGGAAGTGAACAGAATGGCATATGTTCCAAGCCTGACAAAGAAAGAAATGAAATTAAAAGGTAATCCCAATGGGGAAAAATGAAAAGGACAAAATTTAAATGATAATAAAGCTACATATGTACACATATGAATATGTACAAATATATACAAATTTTATATTGCAATCTCATGTAGTTAATGACTAATTAACCGGTGCCTCCTCTTTATTGTTCACAGGAGACCAAAATCAACTGTGTTCGTCTGGCTACGAAAGGTAAGTTGGCATGACCTGTCTGTCTTCAGTTGTTCTTCAGCAGTATGAATAGTTCTTCCTCTGGCCACACAGTGAATGTTTAGGCAACAGTGTCTAAAAATAAGAACTATTTTCATTGGCCATTTGTATCTAGACCATACACCCTAAGTATATAATACTATCACCATGCCTACGCTGTAAAAGTGCAAAACATTTGCTGGATGCATGGATGGATAGATGGAGGCAGAGATAGACTGGTTCATTGACCAGTGTAGTGACGAACATAATTTCACTCGGATACTGTCGTGGTGTGTGTTTTCATTGCATTTGGATCTATATTTATATGGGTGTTTGTCTTTAAGTATGTCTATTAGACCCATCATTTGGGTTTTATGATTTAGTCAATTGGTACATAGCTTTCAAATATGAGGTGATTAGTGTTGGTGCCTTTAATAATGAGAGAACAAGCACTGCCTTGTTATGTAGCTGGCATTTTCAACACGTACCCCCCAAAAATGAATGCAGCATCGTTCAGGCTCATCGCTTTTGTTTTCCTAATTATAATTGAATTGCCTGACTCTTTCAATTGGTACATGCTTCTGTTTATTACTCTTTTTAAAAAACAAAATCAATGAATGGTTTGTTATCATTTAACCTATTACAAGGTTGAATGGTTAGAAATCAGGTTTATCTTTTGGTTATAGAATTGATATTTTTAAGAGCAACTGCCCCCTATATACATGTACCAAAATTGAGTTCTCTTCCCTACATTTATTCACAGAATATATAGTTTCATAGATTCATTACAAAGATATAAAAATTATAAATATTAATGGACATATAATCATAAATAAAATGTAGCAAAGCAATGGTTGAAGTATGTAGTCATACAGAGGAAAACACACACAGATGGGTGGAGGGGGAGATACAGAGAAGGAGAGACAGAGGCAAAGAGAGACAAAGAGAGTAATCTACAGCTATTTGAGAAAAACATGCACCAAGACTTGTAACACACGACTTTAAAGAAAATCAACATGACATGTAGAAACCAAAGAGAAGATTCAGGAGGAAGGAGAAGACAGACACACTGGGGCTCACTATGGTAAGAAGTCACCCTGAATTCACACATGTCATAGAGGTCGGCATGTCCCTAACTTGGTCCCTCTCAAGAACTCAGGCTACTGGATGGAAAGAGACAAAATACTCTGCGTGAGACAAGAGAATTGATGTCCTGCAGGCAAAAGTGACACAAATCACAGGCCTTGGCAGACTATTCCACAGAAGAAAACAGATAATGTAGAAGGAAGAACACCATCATTTGAGTAGCATTAGGGCACCAGACAGCAATCAGGGTAGCTGGAGTCTGCAGTGACCCACTTCAACAGCCAGCTGGAGAGGGGAAGTAAAAATGCAAAAACTCCTTCACCAAGAGGCTGCTCCATAGCTCCCCCTCCAGAAAAGGAAGTTTCTGACCTCTGGAAAAGGAAGCAGTCTGCTTTCCACCAGGTATGTGGGTCTCTAAAATCACCCTCTAGGATGTTGATCTTCCTAATTTGCTGGGTCCTATTTTCTGACCTAAGGATTGCAACACGTGACCTGATATACAATAGGTATACATGAGGACAAAGGGAGAATATCTGAAATTATATTTCCTGGCAATTTCAGGTCCACAGTCCTCAGAGGCATATAGGCCCACCATGCTGCTTCTCCAGAGTTGCATTGCTCATCTGCTGGAGAAAGGCAGTGTCATGTAGCGAATTATAGCAGAAAAGCTGCCTGCCTCTCCTTAGCATACGAGTTTCTCCTCTTGATGAATCATTAGGTTCCAGTCTTCCTTTAAAAGACTGCATATACAGCTAAAGTGTGGATGTGTGAAAGGATAGGAATGAATGAATGAGTCAATGAATGAATGAATATGAATCCCCAGCTGGTCAAGTCTAGGCAGGGCTCTGTGAAGTCATCTCTGGCATATAGCATTGGAACTCCAAGAGTTCACATCCTGGTTATCCAGTTCAGGGCAGAGAGCCAGATAATCCAGAATGCCACTCAACTATCCCTTAGGGTGTCATCTCCTGTCAACATTACATCAGATAATCATGCCTGAGGAATGCAAAGATAGGACAGAGGGAGCTTGGTCAGTATCTACTCCATGCCAGTCCCTATGTTTGGAGCATCCAGGGTCAATTAAAGGCAAATGCTATCTATATACATGTGCTGCCCACAAGGAGTTTGAATGAAGAATAATGAGGCCAAAGATCAATATTTGACCTCTCTCATCCTTTTCTGACAACCTTGATCAAATCTCTTCATGGTGGACTTGCTGAAAATAGCATTTCTCTTAACAGAGGAAAATCTGATACTGGGAATCTTACAGGCTGAGAGGTCATATGAAGTTCCAGAACTAGGTCATCAGTCTCTCCCCTGCTCTTCAACCTCTCTGTCATCATGTCACCTTCCTTGTCATCCAGCCCCTGAGAATGAGCACATGTCAGACTCCAGACCAGTTTTCTGGTGTTGATGCAACTTGCTGCTGCCAAGTACTGCCAGTGTCTCTAGTCGCTGTGTTGGTCCCATAGAACCACAGAGTGCCCACATGGAACAGCCCTATGTACTCATTCAGGGTCATTCTAATTTGACCCCAAACCCAGTGCCTCTTATTTAACATGCACACCTCGGGCTCTTGTGTGAGATTCTAACCCTTATCATTTTATAATATCACCCAGAATCCAGTTCAATGCTCCCCAGTATTACCTTCCTGTGGATGCTATAGCAAAGTCCTATAAACTGTGAGACTTAAAAAAAATATATTGTTTCACTGTTCTGGAGGTTAACAGTCTGAAATCAGGGTGTCTGCAGTTTGGTTCCTTCTGAGGACTGTGGGGAAGACTCTGTTCCTTGCATTTGTCTTAGTTGCTAGTGGTTTGCTGGTGATCTTTGGTGTTCCTTGGTTTGTATAAGTACCACCCCGTTATCTTCACATGGCATTCTCCCCGTATGTGTGTCCATGTCCAAATGTTTTTATAAGGGTGCTGATCATCTTGGAATAGAGGTCCACACTACTTCAGTATGACTTCATCCTTACTTAACTAATGACATCTGTAAAGACCTATTACTAAATTAGTGATGTTCTAAGGTACTGGGAGTTAGGACATCAATGTAAGAATTTGGCAGTGGAGGTTAAACAAAATTCAACACATAAGTGGACATGTGTAGATACAGGCAACATCCATGTGTTTTCCAGGGTAGCCTGATTATTCCCTGGTCACACCATGATCCTGGTGTTAAGAGTGTGGAAGAACCAGGCTTGCCCAAGAGGACCCTAGAATAGGTTGGGGTTCAGATTTGACCCTGTTCCTGATGGAAGCTCTGTGAGATTGTCTTAGGTAGGGAGCTACATGACTCATGGAAATGCCCATGGGCAGTGGGTAAAAACCAGGGGCTGTCATCACAGCAGATACTTGATGTGTGGCAAAAGGACTAGCCTCAGACCTCACACAGTGGGGAGGTACAAGGTCCTGACCTAGTCATAGTTCTAAGCAGCAAAGGATGAGGCCTCTTGGGGCAGCCTGCTGAGAAGATCTCCCAGGAAGAGCACTTCATCTCAGCCAACCACTAATTGCTTATCCAGATACCCTCTGGCAGGATATCTCTGGCACAGAGCTGGCCCTGAAAAACTACTTGCTGAAATAAGTAAGTGCATATGGACTCAATATCTCACTGAGCAATGAGGCTCAGAGAACAGGAGGGTCTCTCTCTATCTTCCTGAAACTAACTCATACCAAATTTACAATGATCTTTATCTGTCCATGCACAAAATATTTTTTGGTTCATTTACCATTTTAATATCAGAAATCTGCTATCCTGAAGTAGCAAAATAGTGATAAATAAAAACCTCAATTTCTATACATACAAAATATTTTTGAACACACCTTCGGCTACTGGTCTATTGATAAATGTCTCTGTACAACAAGAACTCTGATTTATCCAGCTCTGGGTTGTAAAGACCCACATCATGTCTAATTTCAAGTTATAATAATGTAACAACTGGCTCCCCCCAAATTCTGCATTGTTCACAGTTGGATCTAGCGAAATGAGTGAGCTAATACAAGCCAGGCTTAGTATTCCAAGGCCTCTCTGCTTTGTTTGATGTGAGGATCAAATGACAGAAATTAAAGTGTTTTGTTAACAGCAAAATATTGGGGGCAGGGTTCATGTTGATGACTATTTTTATTTCATGTAATAAACACGTTTAACGAGCACGAGCATCTATGTGCAGAGCCCCTCGGCAGGAACTAGAGATTTCATAGTGAACCCAGTTGGTATAGTTCCTGTCTTCAATGAGGTCCCAGTCTAGCGTGGACACAGACATGAAGTGAACAGAAGTGGAGTCTTAATTGTGATCGGTACCTCCAAAGAGAAGCAGAATGTAGTGCATGGGGAGTGAGTTGCCAGGATCCCAGGCAATGATGGCCGATGTGTGTTCCCAGACCATCACCGGCTCCTCCCACCCCAGCCAGTGCAATACAGGAGACCTTGTGCCTCCCCGGTCCTTTCTCAACTAACAGTGAGGGCAACAGTGGGACGTGGGCGGCCAGCAGATAAAGACCCTCAAAGGTACAGCCCTAGCCCAACCCCCACCTGAAGAACCAGCCCCTGTATTTGCAGAGGAAAGACTGAGTGGATTCATACAGCACCAGGAAACAGTATGTATTTATGGCCTGAACAGAACCTAACATGTAAAGCCTAGATATGGTGCTATGGTACAGCAGTTTGATATTTGCTGGCAATACGGTTGATTCTGGGGTTAGGATAGGCCCATTTCAAAAACCCTAAACGCAGTCTTTTTCCGCAGTGAGCAGTCAGTGGCCCAATTTCGCGTTCCTCTTTACCTTGTTCCGAAGCCCATGGTGGGCTGTTACTAACTTTAGAGATTTAGAGGACTCAAAATTGGGGTTCAGCCATGGTAGGAAAATGAACTTTATCCATGAGCAGATAAAGGTGAATGGAGACTTGTCTTAGGG